CGCCCTCCGCCCCGCCTGCTGAGAGCGGGGGAAGGAGCAGGGCAGGGTTCTGCAACTGCCCAGGGCGGCCCCGGCTGCTCGCTCCTCTGCCGGAGGAAAACTCCGTGCTTATGGGCAAGGCGGAGTATCTGCGGCGCATCTCTTTAAGGGGCGGGGATCGCACACGGAGCGGCTGGTTTCTGGGGTTCGGGAGCGATTCTGACTGAAGGAGCGGCAAGAGCTCCCCCTGCTCCCTGAGAGAGGGCACTTAATCCATTCGCGCCTCCGCGGGGGGAAACGGGTGCATTGAATGTAAACTCATCAGGGTAAGGGATGGGTCCCGATGGGCTGGCGCGGGTAAAGGTTCCCTTCTCCTCTGCGGACTTAGATGCTTGGCAGGAAGCAGCAAAGTGTCCCAGGGACGACCCGATGAGAGGCGCAAAGCAGTTCGAACCAATCGCTGAGAATGAGGATCCAGGCCGGTCGGCTGAGAAGGTGCACCCCTTGGGACCCTGCTTCCCAAGTAGGGCAGTACCAATTAGTTACCTTAGTTATCCACAACCGAGGCGGGTGTCTGTCTCTTCTCACAAATAACAAGAGGAAAGGACTGCAAGTTGCACGACAGGAGGTTTAGATTGGCTATTAGGAAAAAAATTTTCGGCAAAACTGTTGTAAAGCCCTGCGCAGGGAAGTGGTTTGAGTCGCCCTCCCTGGCGGTATTTAAATGACACGTCTGTGTGGTGCTTCGGGCCATGGTCTAGCGGTGGATCTGGCATTGTTGGGTTAGCAGTTGGATGCGATGATTTTAAAGGTCTTTTCCAACCTGAACGATTCTATGATTCTGTGTGTTAATGCTGGTGTTAACACTTGCATTTCTAGAACTGCGTGCTGCTTTTCAGTTTTTATTACTGATAAGCTCATCCAATTAAGGGTTTCCTAGTGTTGCCAGTTCTCCTTCCACACATTGACATTATTCAGCGTTGAGTCATGACAGCCATATACCAGAACGCAGAGGCATTTTTGGCATCTGTTCACAGGTGATACTTGGCATGTGGTCCTTGTAGTCTGATTTTTTTATTACTTTATTTACCTGCTATACCTTACTGTTCAGTACTTCAGTTATAGAGGTGTCTAGTACGATTTCTCAGGGTTTTTTTTCATGTAGATGGTGCTTTTGACTATGGTCTATGATTTTTCACCCCTTGGATTGTGCTGGTCCTCTGCAATGGGAACAATGCGGTTAACATGACTGTACAGCAATATCTGAAAGTACCAGGGAGTGCAGCAGTTGGTCACAGTGACCTGCTCTGGCTGAGGCTGTGCTGTGGCAAGACCTGTTGTGGCTTCCAGACAGAGCGGTCTCTGACAGAACAGCCCCAGGGATAGCACTTAACACAGCGTAAACACCACGGCAACTGGATGTGTTTTCACGTGTGGCCTTAAGGACGTTATTCTGAGAACATTTTTCTTCTTATAAATACTCACAAACAGGCTCACACTTGGACAGTATTTCATTGTTCACAATCGTCTGCCTATGACTTTTTCAGTTATTTGCTGATGGTTTTTTCAACCCCTTATCTTACTGGTGATGTGGTTAGGAGGGTAGATACTGAAGGCCCTGTAGCAAGGCACAGATACCACAGGGCAGTTTATGTGAATTTGCCAGCAATTCAGCTCCCCCCCTCTGCTGTGCAGTGTCTTTTGTAAATGCATGAAACAGTACTCATAAGTATTGCACACATATGTGTAGGTAACGTAGACACGTCACTATCTACATGGCTGCAATGGGATACTCAGCTTCCTTAACGTCATCTTCAGGAGGTAACACAACAAAGTCAGCTTTTAATAGTTATCTTTGTTCCCCAAGCACTAAGCTTTAGTATTTCCCATTATAGAAGCTTCCAATACATATAGTAATTTTCCTTTTTTCCCATTCCTGCCCTTTCATCCACTCTCTCTTCTTTATAATAACACAAGGTTATGTTTACACGTAGTTTTACCATCTTGTCTTTCCTTTAAAGAGAAGGTGTTAGCACCTCACAGGGGACCATGTGTTATACAGAGTTAATTTTATGCAATACTAGAGTACAGCTGTTAAGTTTCATTATCAGATAGTCATGAACTACATGCTCTTTCACTGTATCTTACTAGCTTCTTCTAATTCTTCTATCAAAGTATTTCCACATTCCACTCAGGCACAGAGTGGCAACCAAGTATAATGCAAATTTTGCTGTTTTGGGTCGTCCCCCCCACCCCGTTCTCACCCCTTTCTTTCAGGGTAAGAGCTGGGGTGGGACATCCAGATAATTCAGTTGCCCAACTCACTGGGGAGGTCACCAGGACCAAACGCTGTGTGACTGTTCTCCACATCTGCGTCTGGAACGAGCCACACACCTGTTCTGCTTCTTCCCTGTTATCCTTCTTCCAGCAGGGTGATCCCACCAGGATCCCAGTGACTCCTGCAACTGCCAGGAGGCAGGAACCTGCTCCACCCAGCGCTCACTGACAGGCAGCTCTCTGACTATCCTGCTTCCTGGAGGATAAAGAGGGAGAGGTTAAGACTGTCCCAGACCTGCCAGTAAACATGGAGAAAAGCACCAAGTGTTGCTTACATTAAAAGTTTTACTGGAAATTCTTTGAATACTTGAAGTACATTGGAGACTGTTTCCAAAACAATACAATTTAGGAGCCTTCCCCTTCACCCAAAATATCTGTAAATCAGCAGCTACATAGATACTGTCCTTAATGTGGAATTGAGCAGACAGCGGCTAAAATAAACACCTTCATAACAGAATCTGTGGCAGGCCACAGCAGCAGCTAGATCTTTCCTGAAGCAGAGCATTTTTGCAGTGGTCAGGGAACTCGGGAGCCTAGATGTAGCAACTACGTGTTGAAACTGAGGAATGTCCAGAAAAGAGGCACACGACTCAGCCCTAGAGAATCTCTTTATTGCTATGGCCCTCCAGCTCAACACTAGCAGCTAAAATAGGCACATTTCCAGCCTTCTGAAGTAGGGAAAAAAAAAAATAAATGTGCCACGCTGGCATTCTGCCGTATGAGATGTGGGAGCTCTAACCATGTTAGGAATTGCATCAACAAATGTGCACAACTCAGTATTGGGCTCAGGGGACGTTCCTGGCAGGATTAGCAAGGATGGCATGCATCCTCCCAACTCCACAGCTTGTCAGTGTGGGAAGATGACATTCATCCCAGCCTTTATGTTAAGAGAAAGGTGACAGCAACCACCTGTCCATGAGATACTTCCTGCAAGGTGGCAGAGACCAACCTCCTGAGCAGAGGTGAAAACCAGCTGATACATTATTCCTTGTGTTCCTGAACCCTTCTGTAACTCTTTCCACCTGTAAAACAAAGCGGCTCCGGCTGTGGGGATCAAGTATTTGTTAAAGCTCATGTAATTTAAGCCCTCTTGCACAAAGATTTAAGAAAGCTTCCATCTTATTTTGCATGGACTGAACAACTTCTGTGTGAAGTTGCTGAAAAGGTGAATTGGTTGAGCAAGCTAAAAAGGTTCCATAAAGCTCTTACCTACAGTTTTAGAGCTCATATGGCCTCCCACTGAACATATCACTCAGCAAAGAAGCTGGTAAAGTTCAAAGCACGTTTTGCTTTGAACTTACAATAAGCTCTACTCTGACCCTGGTTGCTTGCTTTAGCAGTGGCTAAAATAGCGCCCTGGAGAGGAGGCAGGGTTCTCCCATCAGCTGCCAGCCATCTCTTTCAGTTCACCACGCAGCTAAGTTGAAGGAGCTGCCACACTGCAGTCCTTAGAAAGCTGGTTATTCAGCCAAAGGAAATTAAGATGATTCCTCAGTACTCAGGCAACAGAACCCCGCCTTCTGGAGAAAGAAAAAAAAAAAAACAACATGTGTTTTAGGACAGAAAGGGGTCTTGCAGTGCTCACTCGAGTTACACAGGGGACATGGAGAGGGAATCACAAGAAGACCTATTTTATCTAAGTTTCTGTTTAGTGTCACCATTTCTCCTCACATCCTTACTTCAGGCAAGACACACAACAGCCGAATCAGCACTGCCAGCCAGGCACGCTGCTGATAGGCAGATCATTACAAAAATAAAACTTCAGCTAATCAAAAGCCAGCTGATTAAAAAGTACCGTAAGCTCCCCCAAAATGTGCTTCTTTAAAGAAGCTGCCTTCTGAATGGCTGAAGAACACTGCAAATTCATCCATGCCTATCAGAATACAGCTTTTTACCAAGTCCCTGCCACTCCACTGATGTGTGCATTTCATTCTCTCAATGGGCCCTGACTGGACATAATGGACACGCAGTCCCCAAACCAAAGTATTATATTAGAATAATCAAGTCTGTCTTAGAAAATAAATATCTTGGATATTTTCCTGCAAAGAGAGACCAGTCTCACTGGCCAGGGTTCCATGGCACACTTGCTGTCTGCAGTGATCCAGGGCAGAATGACCTGCACTACTACATGAAAACAGAACATCTTTTAAATATAGGTTTCTTTAAAAGCAATAAATATTTCTAGATTCTTAACATCACCTATTAACCATAAAGCAGGAAGTTTTGCAAGGGTTAGAGGAAAGAATCTTGGACTAAGAGTCCTAGTTACATAACCCTGAAGAAATAGAATTCCTGGTATTTACAGTTACGTTTCAGAAGCAGAGACTATGAATTCAGCATCATCGCAGATGCTACATGCAGGCTTGCCAACAGCCAACACTGGTGAACTCAGCACGGCCGAGTGTCGGCACACTCAGGAAGGAAACGTGGAAAGTGCTCCTGTAGTTTCCTTCCT